CGTTTCAGTCAACATGTTATACATATTCTCAAAGGAAAAACTCTGCTGAATCGATTGGTGGTAGTCTCATTGACCGGAGACTACCGAGATAGAGGGCCGGGATCAACCCGAGTTCCCGGTAAAGGTATTGTGATACGTGTAAAATTAAAAGACTTATCTAGGCCCATCCAGGGCACAAGCGCCATAAATTTTGCAGGCCAAACCTTGCTTGAAAAATGTCTCGCGAGGCAAATTTATCAGATAGGATGTCAACGGCATTAGCATGGTCCTATCCGAAGTTATCGTATCTAACATACCACAATGAAGGTTCGAAAGTAGCATTTGGTAGTAAGGATGTGAAATACATGGAGAAAGTGGCACAATATTATATGGATAGCGGTGTAGAAGATGAAGGGGATCCAGATTATCCGGTCAATCCAGATTATCTCCAGAGTTAAATACGCTTCACCATTTTTATAATGTGGCTACTTTATCGGTCAATCCAGATTATCCGGAGAAACAAGATATGGCCACTTTACCCCAAAATTTAAATTCTTTATTAAATTCGCTTTGATCTCATGATTCTGAACAATATGGAATAAACCACAAGGTTCTAGGAGAATTTTTATAATGTGGGCACTTTATCGGTCAATCCAGATTATCCAGAGAACCAGAATATGGCCACTTTACCCCACTATAGTTTCCATATTAGATACGCTTTGATCTCTTGATTCTGAACAACACAGAAGAAATCACAAGGTGCTATGACATTTTTATAATGTGGCCACTTTATCGGTCGTTCCAGATCCTCTTTTAGGCCAGTAGAGTTTCCTTGAGGGCATATATGGTGTCTTTACACCATATATACTTAGTACTATCAATGTCCAGTAATATATGTTAAGTAAAGTGTAAAATTATGTCGATAGATAGTGGCATTTCCTACTTTACCGGGAACTCGGGATGATCCCGGCCCTCTATCTTGGTACGCAAAAGTCTCCGGCCAATGATACTACCACCAATCGATTCAGCAGAGTTTTGACGTAGGACTACGTCTTTGATTTCTATATGGGGGTACACTTTGTGAAAACCGAAAATAGAACATGTAACAAATTAAGAAAGATTTTGAACGTTATTAACTCAGCTGCCCCTGGTCCAATTCCAATAATTTTATCACCAATAGATCAGAAATATGGCTACGCATCGATAAAAATGCTTCCGAATGTTGATTTTCAACAAGAAACTATTGAAAAACTGGTAAATGTCCAGCATTGTCCAGAAGCGTCGAATAAACTAACAAATCCACCAATTACCTACATGCATATGCTGCTTCCCCAGCACAGTCGTCAGAGAGTAGTAAGTAGACGAAACAAGTCGAAGTGGCATTCGCCTCCGATCCTCGGGAGGATGGAATTGCGTAATATTTTGCACAGTCATCGCCATATTCAGAACCAAATGCAAATTCTTCGAGATAACCAACATCCGTCGTCTGGCTCGCCGTCACGGTGTCTGACGTATCTCCGGTCTGATTTACGAGGTGTGCTGAAGGTGTTCCTGAAAAATGAGATCCGTGATGCTGTCACCTACACTAAACACGCCAAGCGTAAGTGGCCATGGATGTCATCTACGTTTTGAAGTGACAGAGACGCACTCTGTTTGGTTTCGGAGGTTAAATTTGGTGATTATGGCTTTGGCAACAAAACGGAAGAGTAGGAATAGAATTCATCTGCCTGTTTGTCCATATTCAGAACCAACGACCACACAAAATGCTCATGTAATCAAACTGGAAGCAGGGCTACAAATTATTTTGATCAACCTTGAACTTTTAATCGTCACGGCCGGATATTTTCTATGGAAGAAGCAACAATCTAGCATCTAATTCGACGAGGACGACAGGAAACATTTGTAAAGCCGAGTTATTTACGGAAGAGAGTGTCGATGAAGAGAATCGATCAATGTAGATAGGACCTATTGAAAAGGGACGCGAGATTTGTTTTCCGTACTGAGCTCCAATGCTACCGACGCCAGGGAGGCAGCTCCCACACCTGGACCCTACCAATCGACCCATCAGCTCAACCGGGGAACAACGGCTTTTCTTCCCGAAGAAAGGCGTGATCAGAGATGTTATGCCTTAGAACATGCCGGTGGCGCTGACTGAGATTGGACCCAGGCCTGCTGGGGTGAGAGGTAATCACGCTAACCTCCGGCTCCGATATCTTTCAAGGTGATATCACGGCGAGTGAGAACGATCCAAATTTGAGTTTAGTTATCTCAGAAATAAGAAATAAAATGCAGGAACTCAGCGATGAGTAAATTTGCCTCATGTTTTCACAGGTTTTTCCAGGATTTTCCAGGGAAAAATTCCCGAATGTGAGAAAAGTAAAGATTGGATTCACTCAGTCTATTGGTAATACTCCGAGACTGATTAAAATTTTTGTCAATTTCCTCATTTTCTGGCAGATTTTTTAGGTTTTCCACAGGAAACCATGAGACAAATTTACTCATCGCTGAGTTCCTGCACTTTTGGCGATTATGAGTGAACTAAACTCAAATTTGGGTCGTTCTCATTCGCCGTGTACGCAAAAAGCCAGTGTCGCTACTTGATAGCAAACTACTCATAATGGGAGAAGTCTTTGTAGCTTTTATACCACTTGGTTGCACATCATTCTGCTTTAACCTGAAAAGATATAAAAGAGCGCTGCTGTATGGCATTAGCTCATTTTCGCTTCGGACGGCGTGATGAACAGCAATAGCAGCAGTAGGAAGGTGGTGGCTAGTCCACTCCTTCACACCTAACAAGCAACAATTGACTGGTCGTGGAAAAGGTCTGGTAAAGGAGGCACCAAGCGTCATCGCAAAGTTCTTCGAGATAACCGCCATCGGTCGTCTGGCTCGCCGTGGTGGGATAAAACGTATCTCCGGTCTGAAAATGAGGTCCGTAATGCTGTCACCTACACTAAACACGCCAAGCGTAAGTGGCCATGGATGTCCTCTTCAATAAAACGGCCCTTTTCAGGGCCATCAAGCTAACATCAGTAAAGAGTTGGAATAGAATTTATCTGTGCTTGTTTGTCCATATTCAGAACCACAAGCCCCCAACGACCACACAAAATGCTCTCCAGAGTTGTAATCTTGTAACCAAACTTGGAAGCAGGGGTGCAAGTGATATTGATTAATTCTCTTAATCAACTTTCTCTTTGAAAAAAATTACTACAAATTTGGTACGCCTAAAATTAAAAAAACGGAAAGAGTTGAGATAATGGATAATTGATCAAATAAAAGAACTAAATGCTCTTCACATTTATTCCGTCCACTAGCGGTCCTACGTCAAGCTTCCGTTCGTGCCCCTAGGCACAGACCCTTCTACTTTTTTTTTCCTTTGAGAATATATATAACATGTTGACTGAAACGGTTTGGCAGCCGAGATATTGAATTTAGCCGCGGTTTTGTCAATTTTTGCCCACTGTGCAGTGGTATCGTGATAATCAGGCAAGACAGTGACAAGGCCCATACCCAACAGTAGCGTTTGACAGTAGGCAGTATGTCCCGGGCTCAAATAATTTATTTTGCTTATAGTCGCTATATTCATAGTCTGGCGGATAGAATCTCGGGAACCAATTGACCTGTCAAATAGCGGAACCAATCGAGCAGATCACGAGCAACAACAGAAAAGAGCAATCAGCTATTGCGAACAAAACTTCGGAAACCGCTTTCTCGTGACTCAAGGCTCGCCTACGCAAACGAACACCATCTTTAGGTTGGGGAAAGTTTCCCCTATCCGATGATGCTGATAATTTACCTTCGATTGGCAACGAAAGAATAATCAACGTTTTGTTTATAAAAGTTGATAATACCATTTCAATTGTTGGTCTACAATATATTGAATTGGTTCCGCTTTTTGATGAATCGAAATTCTATCCGCCAGCCTATAAATATAGCGGCTATATTTGCTGTGCTGGGCCCGCTGTCACGGTATAACATGTTTATAATAGAGTAGACGTCATTGAGAAAGGGATGAACCCCCCAAACTGCCCGGATTTCCACCTTATCGAAACGTATTGGGGTATCATCAAAGCTAAACTGAAGAAGAGTGGAAAAATGGCTAAGGATGATATTTCAATGTGAAAAAGCAGCCGGTTAGGTTGATCAGCGACTTGGGCAGAAGTTGATGGCACGTATCAAGCTCAAAGTTCGAATTTTCATTCGAGAGGAATAAAAATCGCAAAATCCATATTGTATATTTAAACTACAATAAATACATAACATTTTCTTCCAACAACGTTTTATCCTAAACCAAACAGATCTAGAGATACATCCGATTCAAAGCGTAGCGATTCTAAATTGGCAGGGCTTTATATAACTGCTGGATATTTTTCGGAAGAAGAATCCTTTAAGATTCGTTAGATCTTCTGCTAAACTAAAAATCGTCATTACATATCAATACTTAATGTTGTTCTGACCAAGAAATGCTTGCATTTCCCATCATAATGCATGACGATTTATGCTCCAAGCGTTATCTAAAATTAAAAGGCCCTGATCCCGGAGACGACCCTGAACAACAGTACACAAATATCGCACCATCGTGCACCATCAATGCGCTGTCACGTTTGACCGTCGTGCTGACGATGATGATGGTATTGATGATGATGATGACGATTGAAGTGAAAGACGGGCTGACCTCCTGGTCGCCGGGTACGTTAATTTATTTTTATTGTTATTATTAAATTTGTTACATTTTGATAAACGCCACCGGCTCCGCTCACCGACGACGCTGGGCACGACTTCGGGGAGGAATATTTCACGTTTGGATGAATGCGTTCGGTGACAGCTGATGTCTAAGCAGCCGTCAACCACCCACCCCCGGATAGATAACAATTTAAATCAATTTGGCAGTTTCAAAGGTACAGGGGGTGGTGGAGACGCACGGTGGTCCTCCGCCAATTGATGCGAGCCATGGAGATTTATTTTTGTACCCGGCTCGGTCGGTTGGTCACGAGTGAGGTACTGCGCCGGCCGACGAATCATGCCACCATCGTCTGCTGCAGCAGTCTCGTGCCGTTTGCGAAAGGAAACTGTTCCGCATTATGGAAAGCGTGATATTATGGCCGGTGATGGTGATATTTCTCGTCGTCGGTCAGCTGGCAACGATCGGTCGGGGTGCGAATATTCTCTACATCAGCAGTGTCGCATCGCCGAGCCATTTTCTATGGTTGGTTGGTTGGTTTGGGGTCCCTGCGGGGGTGCCGTAGATTGGTGCTCTAAATGGCGTGTGTTGTTAATTTTAACGTATGGTGGAATTATTTTTGCAGGAGCCAACGGCTGTTCGAACGCCTGGCCGAGGATGGCCATAATGTGACGGTGGTAAATCTGTACAAACATGGCTTTATACGGGGAGTTCATTTGCTAAAATTGGATGGCGTTATCGCTGACCTTTCCGAGGAGGAGGAGGTTGATTACGTCGAGTTTGGACAAATGAATCCTTTCGAGATGCATGTGTCGTTTGCGGAGTTGGAACTGCAGGTGTGCGAGCTGGCTATTAGAAACAGCGAATTCAAACGATTGCTTGAATATCCAAGGAATTTCCGGTTCGATTTGGTGATACACGACCACCTAGCTGGGCCATGCTTGTTATCACTATTACCGGCATTCAACTACCCGCCTCTTGTTCTGGCTTCAGCACTTGATCGGCTATCAACCACATCGTCGTCACTGGGAACTTTCTTCTTCCCAGGATTCATCCCAAACCAAGCATATGACGTTGCTGGACCTATGAATTTCTACCAAAGAAGCGTGAATTTTGTGCTGTCCTATTGGGAGCACTTTTTCAAAGAATTTGTCTACTATCCGAAGTTAGACAACCTCATCAAAATGAATCTTAATCAAACTGACAGGGTATCATGCTTGGAGAAACGCACATTACTAGCACTGTTGAATTACAATTCTCTTCTGGAGCCACCTGAACCGATGCTTGCGAGTATAATACCTGTTGGTGGCCTGCATATAAAACCAACAAACCAGCTTCCTTCAGATTTAATCCAAATAATCGACAAGTCATCAAATGGATTCATTTTGTTCTCTCTCGGAACCAACGCTCGTAGTGATTTGCTGGATACCGCAATTCTCCTTGAGATTATAGCATCAATGACAACCCTATCATCCATCACATTTCTGTGGAAGCTGGACACTGAGGATCGTCTTCCTGCGAAGCTCCCGATCAACGTGATCACTTCGGCTTGGTTCCCGCAGAACGACCTATTGGCACATCCCAACGCACGACTCTTCATCACCCATGGTGGATTGCTGAGCACTCAGGAGGCAACTTGGCACGGAGTTCCGATTGTTGGGATCCCCATCTACGCGGATCAATTCGGGAACGTCGATCAGCTAGTTCGGAAGGGAGTTGGACAGCGTTTGTCTCTTATGCAGCTTACATCTCATCAGCTGATCGATTGCATAAAAGATGTCATTCAAAACGAAAGGTATCCGTTTCTGATTGTCAATCAACAAATGGGAAGTTAACATGTTTTCCTCATTTTAGCTACAGGAAAAATGCAATGCTGCTATCAAAGTTGCTTCGCGACAGGAGAGAACACCCTCTGGAAACAGCGGTTTGGTCAATCGAATGGGTACTGAGGAATGCCGAAACCAGCCATCAGTGGAACCAATCACTAGTCAACTACGGATTCTTGGAGAAATATTCCTTCGATGTCATCGTGGCGCTTGTTTGCATTACAATGCTAACATTTACTGCCATGGTGTTTACGATTGTAGCAGTTCCGTGTCGGTTGGCAAAGAATTAAACGAAAATTGAATAAGCAGCTAGGTAAAACCCCAAAGATACCGCCACAAACATTAATTTCCTGACAAACTATAGGGAATAAAGCCTGTACCTACGTTCCAGCGGAAACCCGGAAGCTATGTACACATTGAATCCATGGGGAAATCCTTCCCAACTTATCGCTCATTCGATCTTTTCTCCCTTGTATCCGTGATTTTCCGGACCTTTTACATCGTTGAATGGAACCAATGGAACGTTAAAAAAAATGTAAATAGTATCATATCGGCTGGCGTTGTCGTCGTCTGGGTGGTACGAGTGGGGTGCACTGTAGCTATAGATATGGATGCACGCCAGCATATGTGGAGTAATTGAAAATACACAACCATACCAAATAGTGGATAAGCAAACGATGCCGACGGTGGATGGCATTAAATTGCAATGGAAAATAAAACCACATAAATCCATGCGGTCAGTGGTTAGATTTTTGATTAAAAATCAATCGAGCCCAGGTTTTACCACATAGTATCTTATACAGGGGGTTTTTGATATTCTAGAAGGTAGATGAAAAAATAACGTAATGTGCTTTGGGTTAGCAATGAAGTCGCTTGATTGTGAATTACATGTATTCTGTTTGGATTTTGAACATTCATATTCTGAAGCTAAAATTGTTTGCTGGATAGATCACACACCGTTAGGTCAGACTAGTGTCGGTTGCACGGCCATTGAATCCCAAATTCGTAAGAGCCACGGGACTGAGTAAAATTTTCCCCGAGCCTATTTCAGATGTTTAACAAATTTGATATCCAACGGTCGTGTAGGTCATACGGACTATTTAACTATTTAACTCAAAAGGATTTCCCACCTTTGCAAAACAAAAGGCGTAGTTAGGCATCTATATTTTGCCGACTGCTATTAGGTCCAACGCAATAACACCTAAGATCCTACTAGGTCAAATCAAATTTTGAAACTTCATCCATTCGGAATTTTTCATAATTGAAATCAAAAAGATCACAATAGCTAAAAGAAAGCCCAATTATACGAATTAACGTATGTATAGTTCATGATGCCAAAGCTATTTCCCACCAATAATATTTCACTTATTCATATCATGTCTTTGAATTTTTAGTTTTTGCAAGTCTCAGACACTTGAATGGCATTTTGCATCAACATGGCACAGAATCATGATTTTTCCCACATTCTGGGTTTTGCAATTTTTCTATGTCTATAATTGATAGGAATCCATGGAAATTCTGTCAATTTCCTTCTGGTAATCGCTTCAAATTTTACCCTTACAAATCTTGGATTTTTCTGCAATCCATTCCAGGAATTTTCCCCAGAAAACTCTTAAAAAATTCACTCTACAATACTCTTCGAACTGTTTATCGATATTTATCACAATTGAATATTCGTCACTATAATACACTTGGTTGCATTAGAGTTCTCCCACGAATTCTTCTGGAATGTAATTCTTGGAATGTGGCTTAAAATTGTCATGGAACTCCGGTGCGGTGTTCTTATTAACAATAAGTTTCTTTGCCGATTTCTCGTGAATAAAGGTTAATCCTCCATGAGTATCCAGCTCTAAAAATCAATTATTATTATTATTATATCATTAACTATGTGCAGAAATATCAGTCTACATGCCGATAGGCTCCCAAATACATATAAAGGAATTTTAAAATGATTTTTTGTTTGGTTTTATATGCGCTCTTGAATATGAACAAATATTGCTATGCCCATCGTCATAAAAAATCATATAGAATAAAGTTCACCTTAAAATTTATTACAAAAATGTTCTGGGCTTATTAGATATAACATTTGTAGCACCCATCATGTACAGTTTAATTTGTTTGAGAAAAACTCCGCCAAATTAATAAAAAAAATGTTAATTACGTGAGACAACGTAATCCAAACATTTAAAGATATTTAAAAAGTGCTGCAGGAACTTTTAAATTTTTTTAAGAATTTCAAGTATGATACGAAAATTTAACGGTAGTCCCAAGAAAATCTTTGAAGGAGTTTAACTTAAAGTAAATTTTAGCAAAGTTCCGAAACGTTACCCAAGTAACAATTTTGGTTTTATAACGGTTCTGGAGATCATGATTTAGACTTGTAGCATGCTTTAAAACCACGATAAAACTTGAAATTTTACTTGGGTAGGGATGTTACATGAACATCAGAAAAAATGTTAGCACATTTTTTGAGAATCAAGAAAATCATTTTCATCTATCTAGAACTCGAGAGAAAATTAAAGATTCTTAAACGTAAGTACCGACAGATTCAGAACAATCCCAAAGATTTCAGTAGATTTCACTTCAGTGAAGATCAACGAAATTCAGAGCAGTTCCATTAACTTCAGGAAATCTGCAAAAGTTTTTCAGGAAACATCGAGGCACTTCTGAAAATTTTAGAACTGAATCATGAATATCAGGAAAATTACTGAAGCCTATCCTCGTTGATCGATTCTCTTCATCGACTGTTTCTTTGGTTCACAACGGCAGCATAAACGAAATCCTCTCTAAGCTCAGAGCTCAGTTTGGCTGAAAATGATGTTAGCTTGCGCTTGAAACAACATACTGAATGGGAAATTCATTTGCAGTCGAAAGAAAAAATCGATGAAGAGAATCTATCAACAATGATAGGCCCTTTTCTCGTGTTGCGCGAGTGTTCCATTAATTTCTGGTAAATATCGGAAACGTTAAGAAAAGTTCAAAAATATAAAGATAGCCCAAAGAACTTCAGGGATGTTTAGTGCACTAAAGACAAATTCCGAAAACTTCACTGTAGATCCAAGAAACTCACAACAACAGGGAAGTTCCATCAACTTTTGAGACGATTAGAGATCTTCAGAGCAGTATCATTAATTGGGCATGAAAGTAAATGTCTAGAATTTAAGGAAAGTTTCATAAACAAATTGTGGGAACATTAGGCAAGTTACGAAAACTTTTGGAATATTTCCACTTTCATGAAACCGTAAGCCACCATATTGGATTTCAAGATGGCGTCGAACATCGATTTAGGGTCTCTTTACATAACTTTGATTCAAAAATATAAATATTGAAAGGTATTTGACTGTATTTCCCACCTCTTCTGAAATCGGTAGCCACCATCTTTAATTTCAATATGGCATCGGACAGTGATATCGGGTCTCTAGACGTCATTTTGATTCCGAAAATACCCATATTTTGGAGTATTTGACAGTTGTTCCCACTTTTTCTGAAACCGGAAGCCATCATCTTGGATTTCAAAAAGACATTGGACATCAAATATTCTGATCTTTGGACGTCATCACAACTCCGAAAATATCCATATTGAAGGGTATTTGACAGAATTTCTCACTTTTTCTTAAACCGGAAGACGCCATCTTGGATTTGAAAATGGCGTGGGCAGGCATGGAAAATCATTTACGTTCATTTCATGCATTCATTTACATTCATTTGCCTCTAACTTTTTTCATCAACAGCATTCCGCAAAATGTTGTTTGGAGTTTTAGTAGGTTTTGTTATTAGCTACAACTTTTGCCCATAACTCAAATCTGTATCTCTTATGCATCACGAATTAGAGTGGGCAGAACGTGTTCCTGTTTTTCAGTGAATGTAAAATACATTCACTGAAAAACAGTAGTGGCTTCTGTTTGCTCTGGTGCGTCATGCTTAAGAGATACGGATTTGAGTTGTTAACAAAAGTTGTAGGTAATAGCAAAACCAACAAAAGTTTGATACATCATTTTGAGGAATTCTGTGGATGAAAAAAGTTAGGGGCAAATGAATGTAAAAATGCACAAAATGAATGCAAATGATTTTCCATGTCTGGGCGTCAGACAATGATATTTGGTCTCTTTACGTCACCCTGATTCCGAAAATACCTATATTGAAAGTTAGTTTACAGTATTACGTCATTTATATGAAATGGGAAGCCGCCATTTTGGATTCCAAGATGGAGCTGGACATCGATTTTCGGTTCCTGGATATCAGAAGATTTCGAAAATATCCATATTGAAGGGTATTTGGCAGTATTTCCCACTTTTTCTGAAACCGGAAGCCACCATCTTGGATTTCAAAAAGGCTTCGGACATAGATTTAGATTTAAAGAAGATAATCGCGACTGGATGGATTCTTGATTTTGTCGGCGATTCCAGTAGCTTCAGGAAAACTGCAGAAACTATAAAAAAAAGTTTAAGCACTTCAAGGGTACCCAAAGAATTTTGGAAAAGTCAAGAGAACGTCAGAAAAGTAGAGAGAACTTGAGGAAAAGCTTTCAAACTCTAAAGTACTTCAGAGAAACTAGGTCTAGATATATTTAGGGATTTTCAGAGATCCTAAGGGAAGTTCCAATGATTTCAGGAATGTTCTGACAGTTTCAGGCAAGTCATGATCTGTAAGGGTAAGTTTTGATAAATTCATGGCAGATCCATCAACTTTTGGAAAATTTTGAGAACTCTCAAGAAGTTCCAGAGATTTTAAGAAAACCCAGAAAATTCAAATGAACTTGAGAAAACATCAGTAATGTTTTGGAAGCTTCAGAGGTTTTCAGGACAGCTCTATTTAAGAACATACCAAAACTTCAGGGAAGCTCGAGAACATCAGGACAGATCAGACAACCTTTGGTCAGTTAAATTAATATCAATGAAATTACTGGATCTTTGAAGGAGTTTAACTTTAAGTAAACTTTAGCAAAGTTCCGAAACATTACCCAAGTAACAATTTTGGTTTTATAACGGTTCTGGAGACCATGATTTAGACTTGTAGCATGCTTTAAAACCACATTAAAACTTGAAATTTTACTTGGGTAGGGATGTTTCATGAACATCAGAAAAATATGAGAACTTTTTTTGAGAATTCCCTTGATTTTCATGACCGATAACTTTAAAAAAGTGAGATTTTTAGCGAAGATTTGAGAACTTCTATTAATTTCATGAAAATTGCCTTATTCCGAAATATTGTTTTTTTTTTTTTTTATATCTTTATTAGGGAGACTTTCAGCCGTTGGCTGGCTCGTCTCCGCCCGAAATATTTAAGAAAGTCCAGAGTCAAAGGAATTTTAAGATTTTTAAAAAGTTTCAGGGATATTTCAAGTAATTCGAGGAAGAATCGAGAACTTCAGAGCAGTCCCATCAGCTTCAGGAAAATTTCAGAAAAACTTTCAAGTAGTTCCGAGGAAATTTGGGATAGTTCAAAAATTTCAGGAAAATCGCGAAAAGTTCAGGACTATTTAAGTAAAGACTCTTCAGTTTTACCAGGAGACTATCAGGAAAGATAAGCTTCTTCAGAGAAGTTTAGGTGAAATAATAAATGTTGGGAGAAGTTCCGCGAGCCTCAAAGAAGTTTCCAAACATCAAGAAAATTACGGGAACTTTATTCTAAACAATTCAGAGAAGTCTAGAGAACTTAACGCATTTAAGATATCTTTCGGGCAGTTTCAATAACAACAGAAAAGCTTCTTCTTCTTCTTCCTCGTATTTCAAAATTATTGTTTATCGCATATTAGCTTATTGCGTGCTCTCAACTTAGTGTTCTAGATGCACTTCCACAGTTATTTCTTGAGAGCTTTCGATGCCTGTACCATTTTTGCATTAGTATAACTGTGTGGCAAGTACAATCATACTCTATGACCAGGGAAGCCGAGAAATTTTCCAACCCGAAAAATTCCTAGACCGAACCGGGAATCAAACCCAACCACCTCCAGCATGGTCTTGCTTTGTAGCTGCGCCTTTACCGACTG